TATTCCTTCGAACTGAGCATTTTAAATATATTTATTAATATCAATTTTCCAAATTTGATTTATTTATTTGAACTGCGTTTCTTTCGGAAGAATACTTTGTAACCCAGACTACGATGAGTTTGAAAAACTGCATACTATATTAAAATAGAAAATACAGTAAAGCACAGTTTTAACACGCCTTTCAATGTTCCGTTCAGAAAGATATATATAAATAAGAGAGATGTATAACCGACATTTTAACTTAGGATGACTTGCATACACTGCTTTAAACAGTTTTATCATTGTGCCCATTGCTTTACACAATTTTATCCTACATTTGGTTTCTTAAAATGTTATTCATATTTTAGTCAAATATTTTATTTTTGAAATCGCAAGAATCAAATATCATAAGATTGAAAAGTTTTAAATTAAAAAAAAAAAAATACAAATACTAAATTTTACGAAAAAATTTATTTTTCTCTTTTTCTTTAAGCATTCTGAAAGTATATTAAAAAGTATCCAATTTTTCGAAACATTTTGGTATTTCTGACAATCATTTTAAATAAAGTTATCGCCTTCCATTTCATAAAGGCCCAAAAACGGCCGAGTGGTAAAGACGCTGATCACTGGTAGTTCGGTCCGAGGTTTGAATCCCACGAACGGGCTGGTTGCATGGGTGTTTTCGTGGTTTTCCTGATGTGTAACGTGTATACGAGCCAATTTTCCTTAGAAAGTCCTCCACGAAGGCATCCCTCCCTTTAGGCAGATAGCCCTCGTGCGCTTTGCCATAATTAAATAATCCAATCCAATCCTTAATTAAATATAATTGATTTGTAACTTCTACTAGAACTGACGTTAAGAATTGAAGTGCAAATAAATAATATCGTGTGCAATCTTGATTAATATAAAATTAAAAATATTCGCGCAGAAAAATATTTGCATTCAGACAGAAAGTTTTTTGATATATTTGCAATTACTTTATAAGAAGGATTTATTAATAACCGTAATAATTACTTATTATATTACTGATGATTAGGAATCAGTTCTTGACAATTACATTCTAAATTAGTATTTTAAAGAATTAGAAATTTTTAAATTAGAATAATGAAAATACGCTACGCACAAAATACATTTTAGGATAAAAAATGAGTTGATTTTTTTGTTTTAAAACTTCTTGAATTCATTAATAAACATCGTATCCTCGTTGTTAATTGAATTCAGAATGTTGGTGTCGTTTATATAATTATTCTTACTTGTCCACGAATCTGCTGACTTATCCAGCGATTAAATAGCTGCAGATCATTTCTACATAACGATTGAACTTCCATTAATTCAGTCTCTAGAGGGTTGTATGTTTATATCATAATTTGACTTTTATAAAAAATGATTATTCTAAATCTCATGTTTCTATAAAAATATACTGTGCTTTAAAAATATGGATGATAGTACCAGCCGCTCTTTCAGCCACTTCAAAAAGCACAGTTTGTTTAGAAATAAATTGTGCAGTTAATGTCATAAAATTCAAATAAACATCAAACGAAAATTCTCAGTTTTAGACAATTCGATTTAAACGAAGTAAGTAGCATACGATAAAACGCCGAAGGTAAAAATTTAAAAATCTTATTCTTATTTAAAAAATAATAAAAAAAAAAAGGAAGATAGGGAGAAATTTAAAAAAATAGTTAAAAATTTGAATAATATCATCTAAAATTAAAGAAAAATAGCTTTTCATATAGTATTAATAAATATTTATTACGCATCATTGAGGGAAAAAATGTCATATAATTAATTCTCTGTAAAATTTTACTTGAAATTTAAGGTTAAAAAAAGCTGTGGCAACACAGTGTAACAAAAATCCATAGACCACATTTGGCGTTATTATTGCTCAAAAAAAAGATGCCAAATTTCAGAACGCGAAAATATGTAAATTTGTGTATATCTTAGAAAATTTTGAATAAAAAAGTAATTTTTTGCAGATATGCTTAAAAATATACGTACTTTAAGATGATGGTAAAATTTTTATAGGTTATAATTCAAAATTTGTTTTCGAAAAAAATTTATAAAATTATTTAAAAATAGAAATTTAAAAATAAAACACAAAAAAAAATGGGTAAATTTTATTTGGAATGAACCTAAATTTCGAAATGTGAGAAAAAAATAAAAAAGTTTAATAAAAAGAGATATTAAATAAATATTTGCCAAATTCAATTAACATTGAGGAGCTAAAACTTTGAGAGCTAATATTTAAAAACTACTCGTACGATTTTTACAAAACTTGGTATTCTGTTCTGGCATAATTTGAGTCGTAGAATCGAAATATGTAAAAAAATTGGTATGTTATTCTTTCAGAAAAAGTCCGATTTTTTGTCAAAATACCTGTGTTAGAATAGTGCTATATATAAATCTAATATATATCCTAAGTCGCGCTTTCGAGACATGAAGAACGCAATTTGAATTTCGTGAATAGCCCCAGTAGAACAGGAGATATAGCACTGTCCCATTTTTTTTTTTTTTTTTTTTTTTTTTGAGCATTGTACATGGTATGTAATTCACGAGCAACCAAAGATGCATCACGGAAATATAATCACAATACATCTTCATCATGCATTTTCGTCATGAGTGCTAATAATAACATAAGAGAGCATACAGAGCATGCAGAAATGCAACTTAAACATTCATTATAGCCTATCTTAAATATCAGTATTCAGTCAGCATAAAGATATGAAGAACCATAACAGAAGTCCCTAATTTTATTTATCATAATTCTGAATAGGATATTCATATGATTAATATTAAATTCTTGTTTTTCTTTAAGATCTATATCAAAATAAAATTTCTTTAAGATCTATATCAATATAAATAGATCTATATTATATAAAAATTTAAGATCTATATCAAAGTAACACATTGGTGAGTTACATGTAAGAAAATGAGGGTACTTTTCAATTATCTGCCTGCCACACAGTTTGGCAGTGCTCTTGTAATACTATGTGCATTTATTTTTGCTTACACATATCCCACATGGTGCTATTGTTGGGTCTTGGTATGTGTTTGGCTTCTATTTCACAGGGGCCAAAAAATGTGGCAGGTGCATAAGGAAAAGTACCAACGTGACTAACAGAACATATATTACCATAATACTGAGATAAGACTAACTGAATAAACTGATAACACATCATGATAAAGTACATACAAGTTACCTACCTTAGAAAGAATGATAGTGTTAAAAAAATTCGTTGATGCTGAAACAGTAGTATAAAATTAAAGATGCTGAAATATAATATGAATGATTGTTAATACGACTTTTGGTACAAACAGTAAAACATTATTAAAGTTCGATTCACTTTTCTTTACTTACTTTTACCAAGTTTGTATACTTAAAAACAGTAGAATTATTTTTTGTGCAGCATATATGAACTGATAAGTTATGAAGAATTTTATGTTACCACATGTAAAACTGAGGAATACAATAAAATTTGATTTGACAATGACTATAAAAACTTTTAAAACATTTAAAAAAAACTGGAGAAATGTGTCCGTTTAAAAAAAAAACTGATTTGACAGTGTCCATACATAACTTAACAAAATTTTCAGAGAACAAAAGAAATTCTTTAGTTTGAAAAACTAAGTAATTTTTTTATGTAACATCTACTGCAAAATATTAATGAATTTTTGGTAAATATTCCATATTAATAACTCACTGACAGTTAATAACTGAGAAAAAAATGTATACATTAGTCATATTTTTCATTTGACAGTGTTCATAAATAACTTAAATTTTCAGAGGATAAAAGAAATTCTTTAGTTTGAAAAATTAGTAATATCTACTGCAAAATAATAATGAATTTTTCTCAAATATTCCATAGTAATAACCTGCTGATAGTTAATAATTGAGGAAAAAATTTATATATTAGTTATAATTTTCATTTATCTAATGGAAAGTAAAAATAGTAATAGAAATACTTCAGATAAGTGTTAAACTATTTTTTCTGTGTATATGTGCATACATATTTCTTTTTCAGATATTCTGCACAAATATAGCACATTTTCATTTATCTGAACAGCTTTAATTCCCAGTGACAACACATGTTATTAAGACACAATAACACACCGAATAAATACTAATTCAGATCTTGTTCATTTGCAGTTGAGGATGGTGGTTCGGTAAAACCATTGAAACTAGTCCTGCAAAAATTTTGAAAATATAATGCTGATTTTTGTTGTTTGACTTCTGAACATGTTATTATTTCAAGAAATCTCACCCTCAGAATCTCGGAATGCAGATAAATAGATTCTCAATTATATAGAAAAATAACAGTGATGCAAAAGTAAGACATACTGACTGAATAATGTAATAACCTCCATAATTTTCTGTATAACATAGGCTATTAATGAAAAACCATAAAAATAAGAATACATGTACTATTTGATTATAAATATAAAATTCCTAATATCTTCAATACCACAGAAGAAACAAATTTAATAAAATCAATATTTTTATCTACAGTAAAATTTCTAATAATTATCAATTTACATTCTCTATATGACAAAAAGATGAATTAATTCAGTAAGTTTGACATTCTAATTAAAAAATTCAGCAAAAATTTTTTCAAGTTCTTTCTCAACACTTATAAAACCACTGAAATTTTCTTTTAGACTGCAAAGATATAGTACATTTTCCCAACTTGTTTAAAATTATCACATTTAATACAAAGGAAGCAATAAATTAAACATTAATAACAAATTCATAAATGATATGAGTGCAATAATTACTTTAATAATGAAAGCAAAATACTTGAATATAAAAAGTGATGATAAAAGTGGAAGCAAGAAATATACATTATCAAGGCCAAAAATTTAAAACAGGGTTTCAACATGCACTTTGCACAGCAAAGAATAATTCAAATTTTTTAATATACCTCATCAATGCACTCATAAATAAAGCAAATGATAATTAGCATTCCATTTAATTAGTATCAACAATAACTAAAGAAGAGGTAAAAATATAATGAAGGCATTACTCTTCAATTTCTTGATGATTATCCATGATTATCCGGAGGCTCTAAAAGGATGCAACTCCCTGACACCACGACGAAAGCAAATAACAGAGAAAAGTGAAGAAAACTAATTCTACAGGTACTCTGGCTATCCATAACCAAAAGTCTTCTGTTGTGCCTACCGAAGGGGTCATAAATTGCAAATGCAGGAGCCACCCGACCGCGACCAACAATAGGCATTCCATTCTTTGCACCTATCCGTGTCAGTCAGTTGATTAAGTGGAGAAACGTCTTTGACATCTCGGCACTTTCTTGTGCTCACTTTTGGACTTTTATATGCATAACGTCACTACAAATAAACCATACAACAATTCCGCGACAAAAGTATATTATTACTAAATTTTTAGCACTGAAATTAAATTTATTTTCTCTTACAAAATACGGTTAAATAAAATGCCGAACAGAAAATCACGAAAATTTTGGAAGTAAACTATTTATTTCATTGTGCACACGTTTAATGCAAATGGTCACAGATAATATCAGTTTCTTATCCCTTCTTCTTTAATTCTGCGAAATAAGAGCATAAGCTTTACAAAATTAAATGTCTTTTCCATACATCAGCTGTCAAATATTTTCCAGAGACGGCACGGAATTAAATGACAGGCAATGACAATGAGAATATAAATAAAATTTCAAAGCGTAGAATAATGACAAGCATACCTGGATATTATACGGGTTGAGCTTTATATAAATACAAATCGATGTGACATTTAAAATATTATTTTACACAACGCCCACTTTTTCCGTAGGCCGGAATTAGTTGCCCCGTCGGAAATAAACATAACAAATGTGATTTATAAATGTTGCGGTTAAAGTGACTTCAGTTTTAACCTTTAAAATATAAATTAATGTTAATCGAAACGCTTGTGTCACTGGAATGCGTTTATGATGAGTTTATTTACGCGACATTACATGAAACGAAAAGTAAATAAATTTCCATACACGACAAAATATTTTTTCTAACAAATATTTTATGATCAGTGAGATTGTGGTGCTTTTACTGAGGATGGACAACAGGAGGATTTACTATTTATAAGTAATTTTTAAAAAAATTCTTTATTGATAATTTGCTGTTCATGATTTGATTTTTAAAAAAGTAAGGCTTAAGAGTTTAGTCTTCACCTAATTCGATTTCGAATTCCATACATTTTCAAATTACAGAATTATATATTGGCTTGCTATGGCGATCATGCCCATGATTAAAAACGTGCGTAAGCAGCCCAAACTAACATATTAACCTGGGCAAAAGGTATGCGTCTTTTTAAGCAGTTTTTCATTAGCTTCCTTCTTTATCCAATTATATCATAAATTGGAAGCGAGTGTTTTTTAATGAAAATATCTTAAACGATCACAGTGACAGTATCTATTCGCACTTTCTCGCTTGTTTAAACGAGTTTAGAAAGCATCACAAATAGGCGTTTTTCTATCTGGCATCCGCAATGGACGGGTATAAGTATTCTGTTTACTTTGTGTGTCTCTCTGTCTGATAATCAATATGATTTGCACTCTCTGTTGCAGTGAGTGTTGCATTACTGAATACGAAATCTGTTACCGGAGGTTCTAGAGTAACAAGAATCAGTATAAGTGTCTAAATTTGAAGAACTAGTTAGTTTCGAAGGTTTAATTACAGTATCTTCTCTTTCAGCTCCAGAAGTGCAAATGACGAAAGAGAAGTTTGTGTTCAGTGAGAGAAAGGAAGTAAAGACCTGTTAACTCCCTCTATTGATAAAAATTAAAATAGCTATGAAATAATTTCTGTAAGAGTGAATTTTGAGAAGCATGAATGTAGCCTTTTGGCAATAGATGACGTTGACCGTTGCACTTGTTTTCTGACGTCAGAATAACGGGTTGCTACCTTTGGCAAGATTCTCGCCGAGGTGAAAATGAAATTTTTGCCAAAGAGAGTTGACGCTACTGACCCGGGTAACCATAGCAACACCGCATTAGGATTTAAAAAACACAACCCCTTAAGCTAAGAAAACCATCTGGAGTACTTTAGAATGGAAAGAGACTTCATAGGGGATCTATAGGCTGTTTTTCAAAGCAGAAAGGATATACATTCAGTGATCGTCTTTCACTTGTGCAATGTTAAGCGCTGTAATGAATTAATACTTTCTATTCGTTGATTGCCTTCTGTAGATTTAGTAAATTTCATTTCCAATATTTAAAAACGCTGATTCGCTTTTCGATAAGATTATAAACTCTAGGATAACAATTATTAATAATCAAAGCTATCTTTCTTCCCCCCCCCCCCCTTTTTTTTTTTTTTTTTTTTTTTTTTTTTTTTTTTTGTCCTTGTGTTGCATTTGTTAACTATTTTTATTCTTGTCTTATTTAGGAATTTTGATTTGCCTATTCTGTATCGGACATTATAAAATTTTTCCGCATCAAAAAGTAGTAGGAGCTGTAAAATAAAAATATAACTCAATCGTTTTATAGCCAAATATTTATTTCAAATATTTATTTATGTAATTTAGAACTAGATAGTAATTAATTTTATTGTTGTGTTCCACGGGTTTCGGGGATTTGGAGTGATTGATAATAAAACTTGTCGAAGAATCAAAACACAGTTTATTCGTCAATATTATACAAGACAGTTCTACGAGAGGACACGTTATAGTCGTCAAAAAACTACAACAAACACGCTGAAACAATCAGCAACACAGTCTTCAGGCTATAACGGTGAAAACAATTTCACGGCAAAGCATAAAGTACAGCTCCCGACTCGGAGATCCCTCTCGAGCTAATCTTTGAATTCAAGACACTACAACTGAACCCAACATACTCTCAATGCTCCTCACAATACACATCACAATAAACTTCTACTTCGCTTACAGATAGGGTATTTATAGCTCTAGACCTCCCTTCGAGAAGATATTCGGGAACAACAGTAAGAGTTCATTCTAGAATGTTCCCGCTCCGTCTATGACATATCACCGATTTAGTCGCCAAATCTGACAACCCTGTCTTACTTTGTCACTTTATGGCAACCCTAATCCTGCTTTGCGGGGAAGCTATCTTACCGCAGATGGGTCTTCGTAACACTGCCCCCTCCCAAGCACTCAATGTTCCAAGCAGTACAATCCTTGGTCAGAAGCCAAATTCAATACAAACAAAAGGTAGTAAAACAAACAATCAAGATAAATAAAGAAACAAATATTTACACTATTCAAAAGTTGTAGTAAAATACACAGTACAAAATTATAATAGAAATTAACCACATAACAATTTTAAATGATATAAATTAAAGTTCAGAATGAATTTCAGTCTCAGCCTTTTTTTCAAGTTATATCCGGGTTAATTACTTTCTCACTGTAATTCTCAGAAGTATTTCTCTTTTGCATATCATAGTCTATCCGCAGAAAGATATGGAAAATTTTGCTCACCACTCTGTAGTTTATTTGCATCATGTGTACTTTCAAAAATTTCTTTAGTTAAAGCCCATTATGTAGAGTGAAAAGGAATTGAATGCACTTAGTAAACCAAGCACACAAGCTGCAAGAGTGGTCACACATCTTGAAGAAACGATCGTAATTCTGGGTAGAGAAGTCATAAACTTATAAAAATCGCACGCTCGTTTCGTGATGGTCCTGTCGGAATATATTGTATTTCTTGTGTCCTCATGCCATGATTTGGCACACATGTGATAGAAGGTGAGGGAGTGTGGAGAGAAAGACGTGATCAAGGGAAATTTAAAATATGTCCCATATAAACTGAGTTAAGAAAAAATGAATGCAAAAAGGAAACGCAGGTTACTAAAAATATCAGCAACAAAGAAGCCGTTTATAAGCAAAAGCGATACAGTAATCCTTGAGGAACTATGGCTGATTTCACACTGATCGCAAGGGAAAAAAAAATCAAGCAAAACCGTGGCTCGAAAATCACGAGTAATGACTTCAGGTTCACAACAAAATGGCAAGAAGCTAAGTTTATAAGAGAGCTAAATATTAATTAATAAGAGAAATTTATTATAAGGAGCTGGAGCTAAGCAAATCTGAATGAAAAATGATATTTTTAACTCTTAAATAAACTCGTGAATCATGTTATGGTACCTAAAAACTTAATCTAAATGGCCGGTGGCAATATAAAGCCATATATTGCCACCGGCCATTTAGATTGAGTTTTTCATCGATATGCTGATTCATGATATCAATGAACCACATTCATCGATATGCTGTTGTAACTATGGATAGCTGGTTGAAAGCAAAATTATCGAATTTTGGATTCAACCGCCTCACACTCTGAATTTGAGTCCATTTAATTGAAATTCGGACTACTTCGAACACTTAACATCACTTTCTAATAGAAATGAATCTGAGTGACGTAGTATTTTCATTAATAAATGGTGAACTCATAAAGATTTGTATATTAAAGAAATCCATCTTTCTCAATCTCGTTAGTAAGTTCTAAGGGCTCCAATCAGTGAGTAAAACGTATTACAAAGGGAGCGTTGATCAAATTTTAAAAAAGAATTATTCTGCGAACTGTGTCGCGTCTATTGTTGAAGAAACGGATTCAAAGAGTTCACTGAAGAAATGGTTAAATCCAATTCTTAGAAGTTCAGAAAAATTTTTCATTGCATTTTCAAACTCAAAATGTTCCTTTATTTCTCATACCATAAAAAGAGTTTGTAAAGTGAAGATTTATCTTTATAAACGGGGAAAATAGGAAATTGAGAGAATTTTTATTAATATATCCCATTGTTCTAAATTTTTTTCTGCCGAAAGCTATTGTCGAACAGGACACAGATAACTTTTATTTCCTTTAGAAATGAAATAATAATAATAAAAATAAAAAATTCAGTACAAAATTTGGATGAAAATAAACATTTTGGAATTTCCTGACTACAGTTTCAGTTTTATGACTATGATGTCTAGTAACGAAGTCTCCATATAATGTGTTTTAGGTTCTTATTCTATGTGCATCCGAAATGAAGAAAATGGTTAAAAACAAAAATATTTAAATAATTCATACATTTCTTTAGAAAAAGCTCAACTTTTATTCAATTACTAAAGATTTCTATTGTAGTTGTATTTTTGATATTGCTATTAACATCTTCAATACACAGTTAACTAAGTTTAATCACGTTTGCTTTCAAAATGATAATTACTCAATGTTAATTTCACTTTTTTGGGGTGGGGGAGGTGTCTCTTTATTTCTTTAAAATGAGAATTCTTTTCATTTATTCAGTTCATTCTCTGAAAAGATACTATAAGATTTTCGTAAAGGGGACTAATGTAGGCATTTCGTTAAGGATATTAATTTAGGTGTTTCATAAAAGCGAACTAAGAAGTATATTTTTTCTTCAGGGCAGGAGCTAGGTCTTTCGCCACTCATAAAACTTTGTCTTTCGCGAATTCTTTCGTAGTATGCGGCCGCACTGATTGCGTTGTTCTGGTGCTGTTCGTAAATATCTCAGAAGATGCTTCTGTTTACAATGATCACAGCTTAGTATTGTTGCGTGCGTACGGGTTCGTTATGAATTGAATGCACAACTCCAAAGAAAAATGAGTAA